TGATGGTGAAATCTTGAAAAGCACAGGGGACAGGCGAATTTTGCAGATCCCTGTGCCCTGTGCTTTTCTAGTATCCCCCAAAACTCTAATAAACAATTAATGTGCACCCTGCTGATTGAGTTTTGACAAGCAACCTACTTTATTTCATTAAATAATTACAAGCAAAAAATAAAATATTTCAAATATTTACACACTATTATCATTTGCACTTATTTTATTTCATCAGTAATGATCATAGTTGTTAGCCAAAATTATTTTGCATTTGCCATATATTATGGCAACATTATGGCATTTCCATATTCTCTATATTGATGGGCATTAAAAAACCACCTATAATTACACCATTTGACTTAAAGAGTTCAAATAATTACAGATATAATTTTGGCAACTATGAAAACTAAAATTATGGCATTACAGATATGGCAATGGTCATTTGTTAAGAGAAACAATTTTGGCTAACAACTATGATTTTTAAGTTTAAAGTCAATCTTTACTATTAATTCAAAATCGTTTCTGAGTAATGTTGACCATATTTCTATTGTTCATGCTGTTTTTTTACTTACTGTATTAAAAAAAAAAAAAAAATTTAGATATCAAATATCCATATTCACTATTCCAGTTAATTAATAAAATTATTGGTCAATATACAAACATGACTTTTGTTCACGTGATATAATATTTGCAATTCCCCTGAAAAGCCAAAAAATTAATTTTATTATGAATGACAAAAATACTTCTTTTAAAATTCTTCATCCTGCTCAACATTTAAATTCTGACTATTACATTCGTTTGACGTGTATCCCTAAACAACTCTTACACATTTTCCTTAATATATACATAGCATAACAAAACAATCTCTTCTCTTCATTTTCAACTTCCATTTTTTCATTTGCAATCTACTTTATCATATCAATTTATTTATCTCATTATTACTATTCCGTTGATCTAGTTCTACCTACTCTAAACTTATTATCATGCACACAGTTAAAACAGTATGAAAGTTAATGCGATGAATTTTACATTTTGCAATCCTAACCTTTTTACCTTTTCACTTTTTTGTTCATTTCCATAAACAGCTACATAAATATTTCGAACAAAAGGCCTCAGAATGGAATATCCTCAGCTTTCTTGAAAGTTGTGATTTGGAACCTTATTCTAAGAAAATAGAAGAATACCTTATATGCCTTGAGAAGATTGCAGATACGGATAAAGGTCAAAGACACAAAAGGGCTCGGAAATTACTTGACAATTACAAACAGGCAAGTTTGAAAGTTTTTAATGAATGAGTGGCGTGGTAGGGATCTCTGGGATAACTATCATTCAAGACTCTGGGTTGAGCCACAAAGACAGTGTTGGAGCACAGGTGGTCTCTGGGATTGCCTGATGTTTAAAAGTCTCTGGGACTACTGACACTGTCAGACCAGATGATCTCTGGGATTGTCTGATGTCGAAATGAAAGTTAGATGGTGATGTGAAAGTTAGATGAAAGCATGATATTTAAGAATACTACTAATTTGTGAAATTATTGAAATTATTGTTTTAGGGTGACAAATCAGATAAAAAAAGGGCCAAAGAATGGGAAAAGACATGTTCATGTATGTGGGTTCATATTGATCATTGAACTTTAAGTGGAGCAACAATCAATGGTGCAACTAATAATATAAATGGAAGCATAAGTGGTGAAGCATTCGATGTAAAATTTATGCCAAAGAGAACTAACCAAGAAAAAGTAAAGACACAGTTTTTTTAACTAAAACTATTTTTTGTTTCTAATTAATTGCAATTTTAATTCTTAGGATGATGATAAAGTCCAAAAATGGACTAGGATCAATGACTATTTCCAAAGGACTCCTGAACACCAAAAGGTAATTGTATTTACGAAATATTCAAGTCACAATTATATTTTTTTATAACACTTTCTGATGTATACATAACACAAATCATAACAGAGACAAAATTTGATGATCATTATTCCATTCATGATCATGAAGAAGTTATTATGGAAAACATTGATAATGAAGATGCTTACACAAAAAACATCCAACTATCTCATGAGGTAATGAACCTTGCATAACTTTAAAGTTGCAGTTTATCTCACCTAATCTCTGATTATGTCATATCTTCGAATTCACAGAATGTGACAGAAGAAGTTCGTAGCATTATTGAAAAGATACAACATATTGAATGTCATCTCTTTAAGTATAGGGTTGTAAATCTTTCAGTGCGAGATGCCTCAGATCCTGTTAATAAGTTAACAGAATCTGAAAAGAGCCTCTTAAAGAAGATCTGGAATTTGGTATCAAATATTTTTTTTCTTGCAATTTTAGCTTCCATCTGAAATTTTTAATAGCTTTGTTTAATTTCTTGTAGTTTGAGTCATTATGTGAAATAAAGAAAATCCGCCTAAATAAATGGAAAAAAGATTTACAGCCTCTTTTAAAAAAGTATCAAGCCCATTTTGAAAACAAATTGGCATTTGATACAATTTCTTTGGATGACGCCATCAAGGATATTCTTGCAGTACCATATACAGGCATTTTTGTACATAAAGAACACTTTGATCTATTATGGATCCAAGACATTTATAAACAATTGTAAGTATTCATTATTATTGTTATTTTACATTGTGTATATCTAACTTTAATTGATATTGTTTTTTAGTTTATTTCTTTTCAGATCACCTATTAACTTGTTATTGGATCATGAACAAACAGAATAAAGACTAGTGCCGTAAATTATGAGGATGGTAGTAATTGTATTTATGGCATATAAAAAGTGGTTGCAATTACCTTTGCAACCACTTTTGCAACCATACTTTTTCCTTTTTTGGACTATGGCACTAGTCTTTAAAACAGAACTTTCTTATTGTGAAGATTTTGTCAATCCAGTAATTGCAAAAGTTTTTGATGATATCATGGACCTAATTTGGGTGAAGACATGAGTTTGTGGTTCATCCTTGTTGAAAAATTTTCCTTTTGTTAGGTCTTCTACCTATCAGGTTTTTTTTTCTTTGCATAGAGGAGAAATTGAAAACAAATTAAGCAAAAATCAACAAAACGAAACTCGGCAATACAAACAAAGAATCCAAATTGGTTGTTATCAAGATGGAATCTATACAATCAATGTTAATGCAATTATCTTTGAGATTGGTTTCTTAGAAGTTGTTGGAAGTGCTATTTATGTCAACATTACAAAACTAAATGAAGACAGAAATTTTTAAATGCATGCAGATATCTATATTTTACCAACACCAACATCACTTACAACATGGAGCGAAAGAGCAACAACTTGCTTCCTTGGAATCTTATGGAATCATTGTATATCATAAGTGACATGGATTTAATATCATATATATTAAAGCAAGTTATTGTTGACCTTTTCTTTCATTACCTTAGAAAGAACATTTATGATCTATGTTATGCATCAAAATATGGGAATATATGTCATTGATAAATTAACAGAATTCAGTATTCCGAATTCAAAGGACCAATTATATGTCCTTAGAGAGGTTATTGAAAAAGTTTACATGTTTAAAGTATGGATTGAAAGTTTGATGTCTCATCTGTTTTTATGTATTTCATATGCACCTCACTTAATTTTTTTTTGCAACAGAGTCAACTTATGGAATATTACCTTGCAGTGCAAAAGATCACCCCTTCTGCCAACACTTTTACCACTACAAAGGACTGTGTTACCCCCATATAATTAGTAACCCTAATTTGTAATCCAAAAATAAAAAAATAAGTTTCAATCACAAAAAAAGAAAAGTTATAGTGGAATAAACATTATAATTGGTATTGATTTTAAAAGTTTTATTGAAAAAATAAAAATAAAAGTAGCTGGTAATTTTGCATTAGGTTTTTTTGCCCAGAGATTTCAGTCTTTTGTTTGTAATAACACACTTTCATTCTGCTTTCTTTTTCTAACATTAATGATTTTTCTTGATAAATTTCATAAGTAATCCTTTCTTTTCTTAGATAAGTTTCCAGTGTCTGAGTATCATTTATTTTGAAAATGTAAGGAGCAATTTTTCACCTTGTTCCTTTTTTAAAATACTTCTAATGGTACTATAATTCTTGGGTTCCATAGTAGACCTGATGTATATGAGTTTCATATTAACTATTTTTGTCTAGAGATAATCCTAAGCAAAAAAAGCAAATATTCATGATCACATTACATTGTGATATTAAACAAACACTATTGATCCCTGAAATCATTGGTAACACCAATGTTCACTTTGTCTGGTTTTGTTGCAGTATGCCCCATTTATAATAACCAGTTTGTAAGTATTATACAATAAATTAAATTTTACAACACATCTAATTAAATAAATTTATTTTTTTATTATTTAAATAACCAGCTAGTAAGCATTATACTATAAATTAACTTTTACAACAAAACAAATCATCTAATTAAATAAATTTATTTTTCATTATTTATAACAACCAACTAGTAATTATTATACTATAAATTAACTTTTACAACACCAAATAAATTATCTAATTAAACAAATTTATTTTTATTATTTATAATAACCAGTTTCTAAGTATTATACTATAAATTAACTTTTACAACACAAATAAATCACCTAATTAAATAAATTTATTTTTTATTATAGATTGTAAGCATTATACTATAAACTAATTTTTACAATACAAATTAAATTTATTAAACATTATCTAATTAAATAAATTTATTTTTTACTTATAGATTGTAAGTATTATATTATAAATTAATTTTTACAACACAAAATAAATTTTATTAAAACATCATCTAATTAAATAAATTTATTTTTTAGTTATAGATTGTAAGTATTATATTATAAATTAATTTTTACAACACAAAATAAACTTTATTAAAACATCATCTAATTAAATAAATTTA